GCGCGGTATTGGCATTCCTATCTCAACGCTTCCGTGCGTCTGAGGAGCCAGCTGCTGAAGGGCTGAAACTCTGCGCGAGTCGCGTGCCCTGACATCCTCCTTCCACCGTGCCCTTTCTTCAAGCACAGTTTGCAAATCAGACGATCTGGGCAACTCCGTCTGCCTGGATGACGTCTGGTGCATGCGCGAGGGCCGATAGGTGCTTCCTTCAGTATATGACCTCTCAGTTCTCATTTTCTCAGACCTGGAGTAACGAGTTCTGGACGTCCTTGTTTGAGTGTCGTCTGTTCTAAGGCTCCTACTCTCTGCTTGTGATGGCGTGGTGTGTCTACCATGACTTTCTGAGTGGCGAGGGGGCATACTACCTTTGCGCCCTTCTCCTGTCGCCACCCATTTTCCTTTTATTTGGCGCTTCATCAACTCCATGTCCGCCGCCATCCTTCGTATCAACTCATCCTGTTCCTTCATGCGATCCTCCAGAACCTGAGGGTCAATTCTCCGCCTCTGCCTTTCGGGGCTTTGAGAGTGACGGGGGCTGTTACCTCGCCTTCCCCTTGCATCCCTCCTGGGGTTCTGTCGTTGGGGCTCTAAATCCGCCATGGGAGGGATAGAAGGCAAACCTTTGCGCCTCCCAACCCCTTTGGGGTTTGTCCGCCGATAGCGGACTGCGGTAAGTCTTCATTGTGCGCTATTAATCTCAATTAGAGAGGAAAGCTTGATCAAGAGGTTTTGTTCTTTGTGGACTTCCCGCAGACGATGCCAATTGTACGAGCACGAAATAATTCTTCTTGTATGATCCTGTTGATCAAGCTTGCGCTTCTCGAAACGTCGTCGCTTTGTCACCTGAAAACACAAACGTGAGCTAACAGACGAGTGTGTGCCAGAAACCCCTCCGATGCCTAAGTCAGGACAATAGACAATAGATAGAAAAGCTCTGTGAATTCAGGAATCAAAGTTGTGATACCTCTCCACAGGTGATGTTGTGAGCTTTTATAGGTTCCGCGTGGCACAATCCTAGTTGGACTCTTATTCCTCCATGCAGAATCCTCCTAGGAATCACACTCCTGAAAGATAATGCTTATCCTACAACACCCCCTTCACTGCTTAAACCAAGCGAGTTGGTTTTACCCCGGTTGGATGACAGTACGACCGAGCTAACCCAGCTCAGATCTTCCCTTCAGTGCCTGTATCCTGGTTAGGCATACTCCAACCAGGCTGTTAACTTAAGATCGAGCTAATCAAGCTTGGTGCTCCAATGCACAACGCCAAGCTAGCTCGGCTCTCGTTTAGTTGTACCTTGGTTGCCTGTTGAAACCGGGCTAATCTACGGCAGGCTATGACCGCGCTAACTAGAGCGAGGTCCACCGTGAGAAGCCATCATATCTCGGCTCCTAACGCTAAGACCGAGCTAACTCCACTCCGACCGTGGTGATTGTCATTCTATCTGGACCGTGCTAACACTACGGTCCACTTGCCAAGCCCTTTTCTACCGCGACCCATAAAACGGCCCATTACTCAACTCGGCCCAATTTACTTATAAATTACCCTCTCAACGAAATTAATTTTTTTACGAGAATAATCTACAACAACAGCAAAACGAATCCCGCATAATTGGAATTGATATGTAATTTTACCAGATATATATATATATATATATATATGAGTAGGGGTACAATTCACCATTCCAAGAAAAAATAGGGGTATTTGAGTACTAAAAAACTTGTTTTCTTGGTTTTCCAATGACAGGTATGCCCAATTCTGATTTTGGGAATAAGATAACCCTAATTTCCTGAGTGATACACCAAACAGAAATTGCCAAATTATTTTTGGTATTCCGATTCTATCCTATTTTTGGATCCAACGACTAAGATGCAACAACTTATCATCCAAAAAATCCAAGCCCTTAGATTCAAGCTATTGGAATGATCAATGTCAAATGAGATTTTAACCTTACCAAGTAAACAACTCGGGTTATAATTCAAGTAATCATAAAGGGGTATTTTGGTACTAGTGTTGACATAGCTTAATTTTCTTATTTTTCTTCTATGAATATTTTTCTTAAATTTCAAAGCTCGCTACCAATTATCTTTATATATTAAATTAATTTAATTAGCAATTTGAAAATTTTCTAAAATTTATTTGATATGTTTGGAGAAAAAAGGTTTATTAATCTTTATATGTATAAGAAAATAAATAAATAAAATCATTTATTTTTGTCAATCAAAATTCATTTAAGATAATCAATTAATATTACCCAATTAGTCATAACTCCTATGTCTTGATGTTTTCTTTGGTTATTTATCATTTATGGGTTTTGTATACTAAATTTTAAAACTCACTTTTTTATATATAAAGTTAATCAGCAAATTGAAAATAATTCAAAATTTATTAATTATTCTCGAGAGAAAAAAAATTATTATTATTTAAACATATGAATAAAGCTTGGGACCCCCAGTGGGGGTGCTGGGGTCCTTTGTGATTGGTTGAAAAAACTGTTTTTTTTTTTTTTCCCTTTGTTTTTGGCCATTGGCAGCCCCCCATGTGGCACTGGGGGTGCTGGGGGTGCCAAAATGCTGGGGTCTCTAGCATTTCCGTTAAACATATATATATATATATAGGTAAATTATACTTTGTTCTTTTGTTTAGCCACTTTTCTACTTTGTCCCTCTAAATTTATTTTTTTCCACTTTAGCTCTTAAGTTTCAAGTTTTTTCCACTTTACTTGTAAAGCTACTTTCTATTAAAAATTAGATAGAAATGACACATTGTCAGTTATGTAATATAAAAATATTTTATTATATATAACCCACACATTTAATGTAAATTTAAACTCCAATATAATATATTTTTTATGTTATATGACAATTATTTTGGTATTTTCTGTTTAATTTTGAATAGAAGTTAGCATTAGAAATAAAATGAGAAAACTTAAAACATAAAATGCCAAAATAGAAAGAAAAAACAAACAAACAAACAAACAAACAAACTTAAAGACCAAAGTAAGAAAATGACCAAATATAAAAGAGCAAGTGTAATTTACCCTGTATATATTTTCAATAAAAATTCGCTTACGCTGTGTTTGGTTGGAAGATTTGGGAAGGAATTTGGAAAGGGAAAGAAAAGAGAAAGAGAAAATGTAAGTGAAATAAGAATAAAATATATTTATGGTTTACTTAATTTTATATATCTTTTTTTCTTTCGATTTTTAAATCCCTCCTTAAATCTATCAATCAAACACAACATTAAGATAATAAATTGGCAACTCTTACACCAAGCTCAAGTCTTGACGCTTATAGGGCCTTAATTTGACCGTATTCGCTATGGGCCTACCCAAATATACATTCTATGTAGAATTTGAATTAGAAAGCCCAAAGCTAGTTTGCAATTTCACAAATCCAAATAATGTCCAATTTGGTATGGGTTGGATCACCAAACCTCAACTTCTTGACTCAGCCCAAGCAGAAAGCATGTGATAAGCACATGCTGAGTCAAGGGGTTTAGATGTCCACGGAGAGTATTCAATGTTTGGGCTTCACTTATACAAAGCCCAACGAGTGTTTCCCTGGACTTATATAGGGAAGCCCAATTGCTAGGGCAATTCAAGGCAATTTATAATGGATCAATCATAATCATATCAATCATATTTATTTGAAGGGACATGATTTTATAATTGAATTAATAATCTAATACGATATATCATTTTATGTTTGATTAAAAAAATTAAACTCCAGACTAATAGTCATAAGAACACTGGCTAAGGAAATTAAGGTCCTCCAAACTAATAGTCATGCACTTATGGTATCCCTTATGGAGGACTCTTGAATGTGAAGAGAGGGTTCATGCACTTATGGTACCCCTTATGGAGGACTCTTGAATTTGAAGAGAGGGTGCAATACAAAATGGGGAATAAAAGAGAAATTCAAATTAATTGACTTTATTGCAAAATTGATAGGATTTTGTCAATATCTTCTTATAATCTTAGGCCAATTTAAGTACAAAATAGGATACACGATTCAAAAAATTGATTTCATGATTAATATCCTAAAAATACTAATCCCATCTAATCTAGTCTTCCAAACATAGTCCAAATGAATAGACAATTACCCACAACTCAGAAAGATGGCCCTTTGATGTAAGCATATTTGTAATCCTAGCTGTAGTTGTTGATTGCATGCTTTTCTCTGTCATTGTGGGTGGGCCTTTTATGTATAAGTAGACCCTATGCAAGCCACACCTGAGGTTGGCCTAGCCTTGCACAATGCCACCCATAATAATAGTGACATCTACCGACACATTAAGAAAAAAAAGAAGAAACACACACACTTTAAGATCATGTTTGGATGATATAAATCAAACCATAAGAATTAGAATGTTGCCAGCAAGAATCCTATTGTCAATAATTGTGTCAATGTAATTCAAATGTTTATTTGATTGGTAATCTACTATAAAAGTATAATATAATTTTAATTATGTCAATATAATTCAAATGTTTATTTGATTAGTAATCTTCTATAAAAGTATAATATAATTTTAAATTTTGTGTTCCATTCCATCTATTTATTTTATTCTTAAATTACGTACATTCTTTAATACTGTGTTTGGTTGGGAGATTTGGAGAGGGATGTAGAAAGGGAAAGGGAAAAGAAAAAGGCGTGTGGAACTAGGTGAAATATAAGTATATTTATTCACATTTTACCTAACTTTTTCATTTTCTTTTTCAAATCCCTCCTCAAATCCCCCAACCAAACCCAACATAAGGAATGTAAAATTTTCATGGGAGAATGTGGTAAAAAGATTCCTATCATTCTATTTTAGAAAATCACATTTTTATTTTTGGACTTACTCAAACAACTTAATAAAAGAGATTTGAAATATATTCTCATTCCGACTCTCCATTCCCGCTGTCCAAACAATGGTCACATCTATTTTTGACTTCTCCACCAAAATTGTTTCAATTTGATACAATCATAGTGTATTGGTTAATTAAGCAATCCCTTACTTTCCATCATTCATTACCTCCCTTCTCCAACACTTAACCCAACTAACACCACCACTACACCTAATTTGTTGCAGCCTCTTTTGGATTTGGCCTTGCACTTAAAGAAAAGCAAAAACATAAAATAAAATAGCAATGATTGTATTGGTGGTATGTGCGTAGGTTGTTCAAAGCTACCCTTTCAATCCAATTATCTTCTACAGTTCAAAATTCTCCTCATGCTTCTTAATGGTTTCAAATATATAAATCAATTTGAAACAAGATTTGTAAGGTGAACATAGATGAAGATTAGAAGAAGCTTTGCCTAGTGAGGAAAAAAAAAAGAAAAAAGCAGAGGATAAGAAAATGAGTACTGCAAGGTTCATCAAGTGTGTGACAGTAGGCGATGGAGCGGTAGGGAAGACTTGTATGCTGATTTCCTACACTAGCAATACCTTTCCAACGGTACGAGTTTATATATATGATGATATCATACAAGATTTCAATTTTCTATGTATAAGAGTTTAATGGAACATCAAGAAATCGAAAATGATGCCATCGGTCCATGTTTTCCTTTTTTCTTTTTTTCTGGTTCTTGATCTTTTGATAGGATTATGTTCCAACTGTTTTCGACAACTTCAGTGCTAATGTTGTGGTGGATGGTAGTACAGTGAACCTTGGCCTATGGGATACTGCTGGTAAGTCCATGTAATTTTTAACCTGAAAACCATAAAAAATTTGCATATAATTTGCAAATTCTGAAATTAATTCTCATCAAAAGAGTAAAGGGTTTTTTTTTTTCCTTTTAAATTTATAAAAAATGCTTCATTAGTTTGTAGACAATTTTATGAGTATAATAATATTGGCTGCTAATGCAGGACAAGAAGATTACAACAGACTAAGGCCTTTGAGTTATAGAGGAGCTGATGTGTTTCTATTGGCCTTTTCTCTCATTAGCAAGGCCAGTTATGAAAACATCTACAAAAAGGTTGTTCTCCTTTTTCTTCTTCTTGCTCTTGCTCTAATCTTTGCCTCGAAAAAAATGTCATCATACATGTATTTATCAACTATCTGTTAATATCTGATTAAAACCATTGTTTGTTTGGATAATAGTGGATCCCTGAGCTCAGACACTATGCTCCAACCGTGCCAATTGTGCTCGTGGGAACCAAGCTTGGTAAGAGTATATATTAATCTTAAAATTAATCACTAATTGCAAGTATTAAGTTATATCCACTTTGACAATGTTGTCCATGTTTTTGAAACGATACCTAGTGCTCTGTTAATTTTGTGCTTTAGTTTGTGATCTTAATAATAAAATGAAGTTCAGGGAGAAAAGAAAGTAGTACATAAAAAAAGATGAGAAGCACATACTCACTCCAGAATTAATCTAATTTATTTTGTTTTTCGCGAGTCATTGGGCACCATTTGGTTAAGAAGAGATAATTTTCATAAGATCTAATTGTAAAAATATGCTATGATTGCAATTAAAACAGACTTAAGAGAAGACAAGGAATATTTGACTGATCATCCTGGTGCAACACCAATATCAACAGCCCAGGTAAGTCATCCTTGCAAAGCAAAGTATAGTACAAGCTACCAAAGGATTTCTATTTTTCTTTTCCAAAATGTAGAGTTTGTCCAACTTCATCACGGGTATTGTAAATCGGTGAAAACAAGAAAAACTAATTAAAAAATCATGGATGTGGGAGTAGATTTGAGTGCAGACCCACTTCCACGTCCATGCTTTTTTTGCAATTATGTTTACTTCTTCCCGCTGATTTTACAATTTCTCCCAACTTCATCCAATTTCTCATTTGAATTTAAACGAGTGACATTTTTTGGACAGGGAGAAGAATTGAAAAAGATGATAGGTGCAGTGTCTTACATTGAATGCAGTTCCAAAACTCAGCAGGCAAAATACTCTTTTACTTTATATTTTGTTTTCAAATTTAAACATATGCTATCAACAAATTGTCTCTGCATAAACTTAAAAGAAAGGGATCCATTGTTAAACCTTTTTTTATTTTTACTTCTAATTAGATTAAAATTTTACAAAAATGACCGTTGGATCACGTGTTGTTTTTATTCCAATTTTGCATGTGAGATGGAAGATCAGAGGGTCTCTCATCTTACAAAATTAGGTTATAAATATGAATCTTTTATAAACTTGTAAACTTGTAATCCAACTATAGATATGAATCTTTTATAAAAATGAGTAACAACTAAAAAGTGTTACATTAAGTTAAAACCCATTCATTTTCGTACTTGAATATATTTTCTAGCAAAAATCACATTATCATACTACAAAATATAAATTGGTTTATAGTTTTTATGATAGAGACCCCACAAAACACAACTCTCACAACCCAAAAATGATTTGAACCATTCATATCACTGTCAAACACAATTCTAAAAAAAAATTCAAATACATTAATGGTCAATACATCAGTGGGGTCAAGGGGATCCTCCTTTGTGGGGGTCCCAAACATTTTCCTTTTACTATTATAAATTCCTAAGCTTAGAAGCTGGGGAAAATATGCTCTCTCACAATTCTCTCTCTCTCTTTTTTCTTTCTCCTTTTTTTTTTTTTTTTCCAGAATGTGAAGATGGTATTTGATACGGCAATAAAGGTTGCTTTGCGCCCACAAAAACTGAAGAAAAAACCACATAAGCCAAGGCCATGCACACTTCTTTGAATCCAAATAAGTTGATTATTATACATCCATATATAAAAATATGTGCTGTCAAAATTTTCACAGTTTATCTTTTTTCTTTTTTAAGTCATATTTTCAATATAAGTTCCTTACAAGCTTCTTTTTTTCTTTTTTAAGTCATATTTTCAATATAAGTTCCTTACAAGCTTGGATGATATCGACAAAAGACTTAGATGTCTTATGCTTCTTGGTTGAGTTTCAACAATTGCAGCAAGCAAAATGTTTCTTTTAGTATTTGCATTACTGTTTGACACAATGAGACTGTGTTGTAAGTACTCCAATACAGTATAAGTATGTAAGTGTTGAATTCATCTAACTCTTATGTCAAAGATATCAGGATAAAACTATATTTCATATTTCTTAAATATTTTATTTTATTTTATTTAGGGGAATTTGGCCAAACCCCCTCATAATAAAACTTTAATACATTAAGGACAAACATAAAAAGTTTTTTTCTTGAAAAATTCAACACATACCATTATTATCAAAATATTAAATTTTAAAATAGTACAACTTTTGATGTAGATGTCGATTTTTAATAAAATTAATATTTTTAGAATTCTTTCATCAAGATTTATCAAATAAGATCTATGTTGACTATGAAATTCTTAAAATAAAATAAAAAAAATTATTACTATCGAAATTGATATAAATAATAACAGTAGCATGTTACTCTGTTTGACAGTAACATGTTATTCTGTTTGATAGGAACATGATACTTTGGTTCACAGTAACATGTTACACTATCAATATTCTCTAAGAAAAAAAAATATATATTTTATTTTGTCCTTACTCAATTATGTGTTTTCTCTTTAAAGAGTTTATGAAGCAAAATAAATTAAAGTGTCTTTTTTACCAAATAAGAGTCTAATGGAGGATTTTTGACTAAAATTTTCTTTTGTTTATAGCATGAAGTCTTATGCATAATTATATAATCTGATTGATGGATCATCTTAACTAACAAGAGAGAGGCACGTGACTAGTACAAATCAGATTCATAAACCAATTGCTTAGACCATCTCCAACGCTGAACCAAACCCAGCATCAGATTTAAATTTTGATGAAAAATCCACTTTTTCACGCTCCAACGGTTGCACCAAAGTCATACCAAAATGAGAATTCAGCAAACAAGACATCAAACTGAGATCAAGACACAGATTTTACCAAATCACTGTTACTGACCGTTGAAAATGCTACACCGGTCGACCAACCGGTTGCCCGGCCGGTTGACCAACCGGTCAACCAGTAAAAGATTCAAACAGTTTAGAAAAAATAGTTCAAACCGTTAAAAAAAAAAAAAAAAAAAATTTTTTTGCCTAACCGGTCAACCGGCCGGTTGACCGGCCGGTCGACCACCCCGGTTGTCCCGAAAAAAGTTCAGAAAGTTCAAAAAAAGTTCAGACAATTCGCAAAAAAAAAAAAAAAAAAAAATTTTTGGCCTAACCGGTCAACCGGCCAGTCAACCGGCCGGTCGACCACCCGGTTGTCCCGGGATAGATTTGGTGAAGGTGAACCGTTGGAGCTTGAAGTATCAAATTCAGGAAATGGCCATTTTTGAACTCAGAATTGGTGAAATTTTTGATTCACGGTTGGAGATGCTCTTAATGATATGTTTTGGTATCCTCACTCTGAGTAGCTCTGCTGAGATGACAAAATCCATTGTCCAAACAGCGTAGCAATGCAGATTTAAAATTTAAAAAAACAAAACAAAACAAAGGGGTTAGTTGTTTGGCCGCGAATCCTTACATGTCAGCAATTCCAACAATAATAGACATTTTGCCTAATAAAAGTACATAAAAAGGGACATTTTGTATTTTTCATAGAGGAAACTATATGCACGTGGGAGAAGGAAAAAAAAAACTACCAACACATGAGGATTGCATTCCTACAGTCTTTCATTTGCATCTACCACGGACAGACTTGCACTCCTCATGTGTTAATAATTTTTTTTCACACTTTCCCACCTGTACGTAGTTCTCCCTTTTTCATAAGAAATTGGATCTTCTGCAATTGGGATATCTAATTGGACGGTTCAGTCCGGCTCATTGTGGGCTCATTTTGGGTCTATCTTAATGATCTAAACCGTTCTTTTTTCAGAGCCCTTTTGAGGAGATCATGCATGCCAAAATCAGGTTGATCAGATGTCAGGAGCTGCTAGATCAGATCACATTTGTCTAAAAAATAACTAACGAACAACATAATTTTGAAAGTAGTCCGTTAGTTATTTTTCATACAAATGTGATCTGATTAAGTGGTTATACCGATGACCAATCGATTTGAGTTTGGTATGTATGATATTGTCAGGGGGTCCTAAAGCAATGAATAGTTTGGATCATCTACAATTGGCCAGGCTAGACCCTCCAGTTAGATATCTCAATTGGAGAGAATGTAGCCCTTTCATAATCACTTTGCCTAGTATGTGCTATAGGAACCCTCTCTACTCTTGAAATAAGTTTGCTTAGTCTCCAAGGTTTTCCAAATGTAGCTATCTAATAGAGGGTGAAGCAAAATCCATATTGTGCTGCCCATTCTATTGGAGCTCCATTTTGTGTTGAGCCTAGGCAAAATGCCTAAAATGTTCTAAATGCCTCTCCGATTGGAGATGTTCTAAGAATAGGAATTCAACTCTATACACCTATCTATGGATATTTTTCCTTATATTTGTTTGGTGTCTTTCTTCTATTCATTCAATTTGTTGTATACTTCTGCATTAATTTTTTTTTTTTTTCATATTTGAATATTGAAGTTGATATAATTCTTGGCACCCTTTGTGAAATAGTTTGGCGGAAAGTTCTTTTGTTAGTTTTTAGGGATATTTTATTTCTAATTTTACCCCTTTAATTTATCTGTTGACTATTTTTTTTTTTTATCAATCAACTTTTTTTTGACTATTTGATTAAATTTTTTTATCTGTTCAAATTTATATCTATCTGTTCAAATTTTTTTTCTATTTGTTCAAATTTTTTATTATCTATTTAAATTTATATCTATCTATTGAATTTTTTTCCTATATGTTCAAAATCTGTGAATTTCTCTCTCTCTATCTGTTTAAAATATGTGAGTTTCTTTTTCTATCTATTTAAAAATTCCAAAAATTTGATCTATTTGTTTAAAATTTGACAAACTTGTTTTCATTCTGTTGGAATTATCCAATACAACAACACACCAGCATCTCTCTCTCTCTCTCTCTCTCTCTCTCTCTTTCCTCTATTATTATTCATATATAACACAAAAAATTATATGTTTTTTTAT